TGGTAAGGTTAGAACAGCCTTCTATTTTTGTAATAATAACTGGATATTGCTAAGAGAGGTTTATTGTCTTCAGTATGCCAATATGGTAGCTCAATATTTATTATTCCCTTTTTTCAGGGTAAGAAAGTGTCAAAGTATTAAACAGCTGACACCCATGTTTGCTTACCTAGGACCAACAATCTTTTCATTGCTCTAAGCAGTGTACCTAACCTTTACATAGACTAATTAGTTTGATTTCCTTCATCTTCCTTTTCCCACTTGCCCTGTTAAAGTGCAGAAATTTTGTATTGTTGTAGTTTGAGATCATCCTGGTTTTACACTGAGTTTCTGAATATTATTATTCTTCCCTTAAGCTTTGATTAAATTGCTTTACAGGAAGTCAGTGGGTGGCTAATGATTTTATGGGATCCATAAAGTGTTTTCACAGTGGTAACAAACAGAATATTAGTGGTTTTTTAAATAATTTTTTGTTTTAATTGCTTCCATCAAGTATTATGCTTCAGTAACTAGAAATAAGCTTCTAGTCTGGACTCAAGACTGTTCATGTACGCTATCTACTCAGGCTTTAACATGTATGTTAGTAGCCCATTGATATGATTACTATTATATCCTAATAAAAAACACCTGATATTTTGTGATGATATTTTACAGAATTAAGATTTGATTCAGTGATTTTTCTCTAGAGTATACCAGAAGACGTAATTAATGCTTCATTCATTTCCAGTGCACCCTTAAGGCAAGCGCATGTTCCTTTCAGTCCCTGCTTTGCAGTATTTATTTGAGGAAAAGATGGCATGAAGTGCAGTGACACTGATAATACTGATTTTCATTGACCTACTGGTCAATATGTTATTTCAATTTGGTTTTCTGGTGACTAGCAGAAATGAAAATAAAACTGAAAACTGGAGAGCTGAGGCAGATGAGAGATAAGGCAATAATGATTTGGTGTAATATAGGGTAGAAAGGATCTACAGAGGGATCTGGACAGGCTAGATCAACGGGCCAAGGCCAATTGTAGGGGATTCAACAATGCTAAATGCCAGGTCCTGCACTTGGGTTCCAACAACCTCATGCAATGCTATAGGCTTGGGAAAGAGTTGCTGGAAAGATGATTGACAAAAAAGGACCGGGGGGTGTTTGTCAACAGTCAGCTGAATAGGAGTCAACAGTGTGCCCAGGTGGCCAAGAAGGTCAACATCATCCTGGCTTGTGTCAGTGTGGCCAGTGGGACTAGGGAAGTGATCATTCCCCTGTACTTGGCAGTGGTGAGGCTGCACCTTGAATATTGTGTTCAGTTTTGGGCCCCTCACTACAAGAAAGACACTGAGGTGCTGGAGTGTGTCCAAAGAAGAGCAATGAAGCTGGTGAAGGGTCTGGAGCCACAAGTCTTATGAAGAGTGGCTGAGGGACCTGGGGGTTTTTAGTTTGGAGAAAAGGAGACTGAGGGGAGACCTTATGGTTCTCTACAACTACCTGAAGGGAGGTTGTAATAAGGCAGGTGTTGGTCTCTTTTCAGAAGTAGGAAGTGGATAAGGATAAGAGGAAACAGCCTCAAGTTGTGTTAGGGGAGGTTTAGATTGGATATTAGGAAAAGTTTCTTCACTGAAAGGGTTGACTAACACTGGAACAGGCTGCCCAGGGAAGTGGTTGAGTCACCATCTTTGAAGGTATTTGAAAGATGTGTAGATGTGGTGATTGGGGATATGGACTTGCCAGTGCTGGGTAAATGGTCAAACTCAATGATTTTAAGGGTCTTTTCCAACCTAAATGATTCTATGATTCTATAGAGAAATAAAAACATTTTAATTTCTGCAGTGACTTTTGAGTTTCTTTGTCATTGAGATTCATGATTAAAGGACTTGTATGAATCTGGAGGGTTTTTTCTCCCCAGGGAGAGGTAGTGATAAAGAATTGGTTTTATTATCTATAACTTACCTAAAGACCACAGACTTTCAAGGTTTATATATTTTTGTCCTATGTGCTGTATGACTTATATAAAGATTCAGTCTCATCAGTGTCTCTGTCACACTGAGAAACATTGGCTCATTATTTGATCTTCCTGAAAAAATTTCATTTCAGACTTACAGTTGACATTAGTGGAATTCTTGTTCACCCCCTTAATGAACCTTATTCTTAAATAAGGAGTAGGGTAATTGCCTTCCTGATCTTCAACCTATGAAAATTATGTAAATATTTAGTAAAAACATATTTTGAAAAAACACTCCCCCACATGTCCCCCCCGCAAAATTCAGATTTGTTTTTAAACCAGTACACAACCCTTTGTTCTTCCCAGGGAGGGTGTGAGGGGATGTGGTCTGAGCTATACAGTGAAGAAAACTGAAGTATAATATTGATAAGCATGTTCTATTTTTTCTTCTACAAGCAGTTTTCATTTCTTTCTAATTTCTTTTATTTATTTTGTTTCTTCCTATTTACATATTTACTGCAACAAATTTCACACTAAATCAGAAATGTTACATTCTGCTGGTTAAACTCTGACACTGTCCAACTGCATTAATCTCCTGATATCAATGTCAGGAGATAAAAAGTGATCTAGTTTTTATTATCAGAAAAACAAATAAAAATCAATTCAGGTCTGTATGTGGAATATTTTTCCATCATTAAGAAGAATCAATCTGTCAACCTGTATTTTGTTAGTTTTCTGGAAAATGAGTTCAGATATCTACAGCTTGAGGCACTTAATTTTAAATGGGAAAACAGATAGCATCACATACAGAATCAATTTTCTGGGTACACTTAAGTGCAAAATTAACTGCTCCAGTGTGACATAGTTTCACTCTTTCAGCATGACTTGAAAGTTGAGTTTTTCAAGAGAAGCTCTTCTATGCAGGGACTTTCTGTTCTATATGAAAGATTGAAGACATTGATCACTCAGAATAAAATATTTAAGAAGACTCTCAGATTGATCAATTGTTTATGTATTTTGCAAATCCCAAAAGTCAATAGTCAGAAGAAAATGTTAAGAGAGTTAAACCCAGTAATGGACTATCTGTATTCTATAGCTTTGCTCCTAGCTTTCTCTAAGGCAGTGACTCAGTAAAAACACGTATCAGATTTACCCCATCTTAGATCAAACAGTGACACAGAATTCCTTTTTTGTATTCCACCCCATCCCCACCGCCCTCTTTTCTGTTGTGGTAAGGTATTAGCTGTCTTTTTCTACCTGCCAATCCACAGACATGTGGCGCTTAGATCGCAGCTATCCCTTGAAGGAGGTTAAAACCTTTGTGGGAACAAAAGCACAAACACCAATATGGTGGTTGCTATTTGCTCAATTTATTAACTGTGCAATTGTTTTATATACGCCTTTCTGTACATCATGAGATCTTTAGTTCCCTGTTCTTTCTGTGCATCGTGAGATCTTTCATGCACCTCTATTCTTCTCATACATTGCAAGATCTTCCGAGCGCCTCTCCCTACACTTCCCCCTCCCCATGCTTTACCAACCATGTGTCAGAGGTTGTATAAGGCCGATGCCTCCTAGGTCTCATCTGTCTTTGTTTTGCAGCAGCACCTGCAAGACTTGAGAGCTGTATCAATCAAGGGTTAGACAAACTTCGAAAACACCGCATGCTTAGAATAGTTACACAGAAGGCTGAAAGAATACAGCAGTTACAATTACTAGATAAAAGGGTAGCGTAATTTCACTACTTATAATTAAGGGATATGACTAAATACTATAAAAATAAACAGTAAGGAAAATACGGAGCAACACAATTAATAGGAGTACTAACATTCGGATCCGGAATTGCTAGGGAACCCTGGATGCAGTGAGAATTTAGTGCTCTTCCTCACAAACTGGAAATCCTACGCGATGCGTCCATCCATAGGTGAGGCATCCAACATCGCTGCAAGCAGCTCCAGCCTCTAAATCAACAGGCCAAAATAACTGGCACTTTTCTTTGTGCAGAAACATCTGATTTCATCCTCCTGTTGGGTTCCACCCAGAGCCTGGCCACTACTCAAGGGGGAAAACCAAGGGAGTTTCTAATAAGGTTAAACACTTTGAGTTCTTAATTCTTAATATTGTTAAACAAAGTTGAATATGCACATTCTTACAGCATTTCATCCTTATTAATAACTACATTCTATCTAAACTACATCTTTCACTAGTGACTAGTAAGCCTATATATCTCATTAAGGGGTTGCAATTACTGTTAGCATTTTCTCTTAAAAGAATTGGCAACTGTAGTGTAGTTTGTCCTGTTGCAGTTGCAAACATTACCCAGACATTCTGCTTAAATTATCAGTTGAAGAATTGCAAACTGTTGGTACAGGGGCATCCACAGCAACCACAGCTGGCTCCTGAGTCCTGGCTGCCTCTCATGCCTCAGGTATGGTTGCACACACCTTGCCAGTAATCACCAGGGACTGTGACCTGTGAACACACAAGCATAACTTCTTCCCCGAGTTATTAAAGAAAATGGTCCTATTTGTACCACATCCCTTCACCATCCACTAATTTGACCTTGCCAAATGGTTGTGGTGTTGCCACCAGAATTAATATTTTGGGCACTGGTGTTGACCTGTGAAAAGGTCATCTTTGCGCAACTATCGTTTGATACCAGCTCAATAAACTCTTATGGGTTAAAGTATGGAACTCTTAATAGACATGTTTGAACAGATCAGATGGCGTTGCCATAGATAGACAAAAGGGTCTTTTTCCTGTCTCATTTGCTATAGTTACCTCTATGTTGGGTCTAGGCAAGATGGTTCATCTAGCGAAAGATCCAAGTAGCCAAAGACCACAGAAAATCTACAAAAACTTTTAAGAAATGGTTATTTCAGGCTTTATGTATCGTGCAGGTATCCATTTAATTAAACCATCCTTTTCCACTGCTGCGTACCCACGCCCAAACTCTCAGCGACCAGCCCAATTCCCATGCTATCACTCCCGGTTCCTTGATCTGAACCAAAATATAGTTTTTTGTTGCCTGATTTGGCATAAAGTGTTTCCACAGGGAAGGTGTGGACTCGTCACCTCTAACTGATTTAAAGCATAAAGGGCCCGGGACAAAAGATTCTGCTGCCAGTCTATGGGTATTGTCCCCTTATGACCTTCCCCCTCTCCAAGCTGTTGTAGTTTTGCTTTTAGGGTGCGATGCACATGTTCTACTATTGCTTGTCCTTGACTGTTGTAAGGAAGGCCATGTACTAACTTGATGTCCCATAATGCACACCATTCTTTGGTACATTTAGCGATGAAATAAGGGCCATTATCTGTCTTGATTTCTTGTGGCTTCCCTAATAAGGCAATGATGCCCTCCCAATGAATAATAACGTGTCTAGCTGTTTGTTTGCGAGCCATTGTGGTTAATATTGTAGAGCTAAAGGTGTTGATGGTTACTATGAGGTATTTATTTGGTTTTAGTAGGTCACATTCTGTTATGTCAGTTTGCCATATCTGATTGGGAGACCCCTTGGATTGACACCTGCCTCCCACAATGGGCCCTTTTGACAGTAGGGTAAAAGTTCCACTATGTTTTTTGCTTGTGACAGAGAAATATGACATGTTTTTCCTAAGGCTTTTGCTCCAAGGTGTAGAAAGGCATGTAAATGCTTTGCAGCATCTAGTGACCATACACCACAAGCCGCCTGGTCAGCCTTACGATTGCCTTCTACAATTGGACCAGGTAGGGATTGGTGACTGTTCACATGTGTAAGAAAGGCCTGTCCTATGCTTTGTTGTAGAGCATCATCAAGTAAAGTTAACGCTTCTGTCTGTACAAATCCTACTGTTGTCATTTTGTGTACAAGTTTATAAACATATAAAGAGTCTGTAACAATATTAATTGGATTCTCTGTTTCCTGCTGGAGTGCCATCTGGACCGCTTTGGCTTCTAACCATTGTACCAATTTATTAGAGTCCACAATTTCTTTTGCCAGCGTCCTTCAGCTTTCCATACAACTGCAGCTGTTTGCGATTGTGATGAGGCATCTGTAAAGTATGTTGTGCCATTAAGAGGGTGCATGACTAGAAGTAGAGTAAGTTGTACCTGAAGTGTTTTCAGGTGTGTAACCCATTGTAGACCCTTTCCAGTTATTATGGAGCCTGGAAAGTCAAAGATGATACATTGTAAGTCTTCTGAACGCGTAACTATGTTGTCCCACACTTGCTGCTTCCAGGGGATAAGTATTGTGTCAAGTTCCTTTCCAAAGTGTTGATGGGTCATATTACGTAGGTGCCCCGTAAGGTCTGCTATAACAGCGAATATGGTAACAAAGGCGGCCTTGATGGTATTTTGGTAAGCCCAGGCTAAAGGCACAGGCTTGCTGTCCATGCCTTGAAACAGGATGCCTACTGTGCCATGTTCAGAAATAAAGCACCCTGCTGTGATTGGCTGTTTTGGATCCCATCATTGCAAAAGTCTCTGTTGTTGTAAAATAGCTTGTATAAGAGTTAAAATGTCCTGACACTGATTTGTGAGTTTCCTTGGTTCCCACAAGTGTTTTTTCAGCAATTCATAAAAGGGTTGCATAAGTCCCAAGGGAATACAGATAAAGCTGCAGAGCCAATGCAAGGCTCCTACTAATTTCTGAACGTCTTGAAGAGTGGCAATGTTTGGAGCAAGAACTATTGGTTGTGGACTTATGTCGTTCCCAGCTAAAGTCATGCCCAGATATTGTAATTGTGTAACTCGCTGGATTTGGCAATGCTCAAATTATGTTGTTGCAACAAGGCTTTGGCACACTGGAACAGGTGTTCCACTTGCTGTTCTGTAGGTGCTGCTAATAATATGTCATCCATATAGTGTACCACATGATGGTCAGTCTTACCTTCTCTCAACAGTGCGATGGCTTTGGCCACATACAGCTGACAAATGACAGGTGAGTTTTACATACCTTGAGGCAGTACAGTCCATTGCCAACGCTGAGCTGGTTGAGCGAGGTTCACAGAAGGCAGAGTAAAAGCAAATATTTGTTTGTTGGCAGGATGTAAAGGGATGCTGAAAAAACAATCTTTGTTATCAATAATCAGAATGGACCAATATTTCGGTATGGTGGAACCCCAGGACAATCCAGGTTGCAGGGCATCCATTGCCTGCATCTGTTGATTTACAGCCCTGAGGTCATGGAGTAAGCACCACTTAGTCTTATCTTTCTTTTGGATAACGAACACAGGAGCATTCCAAGGGCTTGTAGAGGGTTCCAAACGACCCTCCTGTACTTCTATTTCCACTAATTGTTGAAGTGCACTTAGTTTTACTGAGTTAAGCAGCCAATGCTCGACCCACACCAGTAAAGAAGTTAACCATGTAAGTTTTAAGGGTGGTATGTGCTCGGCAGTGGCCTCTAATCTAAATTTGTAATGCCAATTTTCATTTGTTGCATGCAGTCGTGGCCCAACAAAACTCCCTGGAAATTTGCTAATACTATAGGCTTCAGTATCACAATCAAGGCCCCCTTTTTCTGGTTTGGATTTTAAATGTTGTGTCGGTGATTGCTTTGTACACTGTTTTTTCTCCTCCGACACCTGCCACAAATCCCCCAAATGTAGTTTCCCACTGCCCTGGCCACCATTTTTTGCCCACTACTGCTATATCAGCTCCTGAATCAATCATGGCCTGTAGCACTATTTCTTCTGTTCTTCCTGGGCGAGGCTGTCTTATGCAAATGGTGACCATGGGCTTTTCACTACAATCTAGAATGAGAGCCATGTTTCTTGGCTCAGAGTGACCTCCTGTGGACAATTGTGGGCATATTTGATTGTGACTTGGGGAGTATAGGAAAAGTTGCCTCTGATTTGTGGGGGTTGCCTGTGGGGTATTGAAGGAGGCCAGCCCCCATTCCTGGGATCAACCTAACCGGGTAAGCATGTATGGTTGTAGGTTCAAGCTTCACGCCTGACATCACACACTCTTTCATTATGAGCTGCCAATCAGCAGGGTGTTTTTGTAAATAAGAAGAAGTAGCTCCACCCACAATCAAGCATCTGTTCTCTTGGGCGGAGGCTGCCACTATTTGCACCGCTGCTGTCAGTTCCGCTAGCAATTTCGTCATATCCTCCTCCGGTTTCTTCTCCTCCCTTTTTGGCATTGCTTCTCCCTTTTCCATTTAATTAGATTTCGGACCACTGCTGTCTGATTCGTCATCTGGCTCCGCCTGTGTTTTTTGATCTCGCCAATGAGTGAAGTGACTGCTCGTTTCTTTTGTACAAGGGTCAGAAGGCCCTGCCACGATCCAGGGCGCCACCTCCTCCAAAGGAGGGGGTGCACCCAGAAGCCAGTCGATCAGGGAATCCAGCTGGGGCCACCCCTTTTCGCTCTCCTGTTGTTTTTGAATTGCCTGCATTTCTTCTTTCCATTGTTGCATTTTGCTTTCTCCATTTCTCCTCAAGGTCAGCCAGTTGTGTTGCGGCTTCTGCTTTTTGTAATGTTCCCCGAGGATATACAGGGTGGGGGGCAGACCAGAAGGGCTAGTGCTATTTCCGCTCCTTGCTTTGTTCTTGTCAGGGGGTTTTTCTTCTATGGGCCATGCCGCCCCTAGCTTGATAGATTCCTCCTTAGAGGAAATATCTGCAAGGTTTTTTGTCTAAGTAGTTTTTTCTAAGAAACCTTGCAATCCCTTATGTGCATCCTTAGATGCATGTTGTTTGGCTTGGGTGGCTTTCATCAATGCATTTGCCTTATCCCAAGTCATCAAGTGCTCTGGATTTCCCAATTTTGCCTGCTCTGTTAAATCAGCTTTTATTAGAGGCCACAGCTCTGACTTCATACAATCCATCCGCTTGGCCAAAATGCTGAGCTTTAATAATCTTTGTAGCATAGCTTTTAAAGCACTCGACTTCATAGAAGTCTTATGTTGTCTTCCCCGTATTTTAAATACCTTGATTGTGAGCTCCATGGCGCGCCATGGAGCTCCTTCACCTCCTGCCATGTACCGCCAACTGTCACCGTCCGTACACTGGAGTCACCATTTGTTGTGGTAAGGTATTAGCTGTCTTTTTTCTACCTGCCAATCCACAGACATGTGGCGCTCAGATCACAGCTATCCCTTGCAGGAGGTTAAAACCTTCATGGGAACAAAAGCACAAACGCCAATATGGTGGTTACTATTTGCTCAATTTATTAACTGTGCAATTGCTTTATATACACCTTTCTGTACATCGTGAGAACTTTAGTTCCCTGTTCTTCCTGTACATCACGAGATCTTCTGAGCACCTCTCCCTACACTTTTCTACATAAGAAATGTTTTAAAGATGTCCATGGGTTCTGCATAGTTCCAGTTCCATTATTAAAAAGTCAGTACTAAATATCCTTTTTTTAAAGTGTGGATAATTCTAACCAGTGGAAGGAATACTATTCTCCAGCTAGGCAACAGTATTTCAAATATGGAGCATGTCATAATAAAATGCTAAGTTTGATGAAAATTTAATAGAACTGTCTACCACAGTCTGGCAGGCAATTTTTGAAAATTTAGCTTCAGGTTCCTGAAGTCATGCTGCCACCACTCTCACACTGGAAAATTTACTTTCAGAACTACTAAGGAAAAATCTTCTAGTCCAGGAGTCTCATGGCTTCCAGAGATGTATTTCTCCAGAGCTACGTACCTCCCTGCCTAAAACTAACATAATTTTTACTAGATTCCTTGCTGCTGACCAGTCATGAACTGACAACAAGCAAGTTCAATTTTAGACAGCACTTGTCTGATCTTAGAAAGAACATCTTTTCCTTTGGAAAATTTATGTTTCTGTTCCTCTATGAAGGTCTGGGAAAGGATTTCCATTTACAGAAAACATGAAAGTTGTGATATTTGGCCTCTAGCATGAAATGTTTTCAAAAAATTTGAGCTATTGAAAAATAGAAATTGGGTTTCCTGTTGCTGCTGCTAAGAGTTAGCTCTTGTTTCAACATAATACATTCTGGGCTTGACAATATTCCACAAAACCTAGCTCTCTCTGTTTTCTTGCTAGGGTGGCTTTTCACAGTTTTGCTAGTTGTAGTCTACAGATCAATTACCTATACAGTATGAGCAGTGACTGCAATTACAAAAATGTACTAATACCCAGTATTAGTCTATTGAAAATAATACTGATTTATAATTTCCACCACATAATAAAACAAAGCAAATTGCAACTTTGACAATCATAGTTAATGAGACGTAGTTACCTCACAAAGCACTACTTAACCCAATTCATATTTTTTTTTAATTGAAAATTCTCAATATAATAAAATACTGGGGTTTTGTGAACTAAAATGCTTCCTGTTTGCAAGTCTCATTTTTGAGAAATATAATTTTCTTATTAGATTTTTTCTACAAATTTGTGCAATCCTGAACATGATTTTTAACATGGGTAATAATGTACCTTAAGATCCATACTAGAAGTGCAGTGCCCATTGTGTGATGATAAATTATCACTTGCTGATCATTGTAAGAAGGAAAAATATTTAATGTCCAGGAAAGAACTCAGCCTTCATTAAGTAATCATTCTCCCTAAATAGCAAATATAAACATTAAGTGATGAAAAACATATAGCATGAAGAGATGACATTTAAAAAAAAAGGATTGGTTTACAGACAGCTTAGTCCTCTAGCATAGGCTAAATTAACAATGACTTTTAGAGACAATGTAAATCAGTGAGTAAAAGTCTACTGGAATCAACTAAGCAATCGTTTAGTAATAAGAGAATTTGGTCTCCATATCTAATAATATGCCATGTTTAACATTATAAGTATTCATATCAATTTCCCTTGAAATTACTGAAAACTTCTCAATTGTTATGTACTAATACAGAAATTCTAGCAGTACTTTATTGAGGGGTAGCAGTCACATTTCACTGAACTCCTAAAATTTTATTGAAAGAATATTCTTGAAAACCTTTATCATCAGTTTTTATTACCAATCTGATACTTAAATGTCTTAGGGGGGTTAGTACAACTTACCTTTGCAAAATAATCTATTTAACAGTCTCACCCTTTCAGTATGTGACTTCTGAAGTAGCAATAGTACATCTAAAAGGCAGTTTGATACAAGTTAACTTTGCCAGTGGTCAAAGTATGTAGATACCTTTCTTTCTCATATATGACCTCTTTGCAGCCAACCCATTGTCCACCAGTGGTTTTCCATTAGTTAGCAGCATTGGAAACAGAAAGGCTAAAAGTGCTGAGATAAGGGATGTTAGAGGTGCAGAAACTATAAAAATCTGAAATTCCCTCCAAATCCTTCCTGAAGGAGCATTTGTACTTTCTTTGGTGAAGTTTATTCCAAGAGTTGAGAAATCTACTATATTGTCAGTGGGTGAAAAATTCCTGTGTTGAATTTTTATTGAAGCTGACAGACTTGTACCAGCGAAGACTGTACTGATATTTATTAATCCACATAGTATACATCAGATCTTTTCACCCATCAGTAGGCAGCTGATGTAGTTCATATTTTCAATTAAGTAACCTTAGACCAAGCTATTGAGATAAAACAAAAAATCACAAACCAACCAACCAACCAAACCCCAAAGAACAAAAACTAGAAAAACAAACAAATCCATGAGACACTAAAAAGGTTCTTTTGTGAGCTGCTCCCACACAGGCAGGTATCAGCCTGCATCCTCACACCAGTGCCTCCTGCCCAGTGGCAACATTTGACATTTGTCCTTGCTGGATTTCATAAATTTTCTGTTGGCCTGTTCCTCCAGCTTGATTAGGTACATAGGAATGGCTCATTCCTATTATTATTGGCTCGCTCTCCTGGATTTGGTGTCACCTGTGAACTCTGAGAGTGAGCTCTGCCACTTCTTCCAGGGCACTAATAAAGATGTTAAATGGGAGATGTCCTGCAGAGTTGCTGTCATGGTTCATGAACTAAAATTAGATGGAGAAAATATACTCAGAATGGTCC